GCAAAATAGTAAATACCTAGTGTTTATGGCATGGCTGATGGCTCGGTGGGCGGGTGTGGGGGTGGAAGAGGCTAGCTTCCAGGACACTTTGTAGGGGCTCAATCGTCATCTTAGCAGGAAAAGCAAACCTATCCCTTCATAACGGCAAAGACTAGGGACTTTGAACACTGTAAAATTTGCTATCTGACTTCCATCCAGTGAACAGTTTACGGATCTGGAGGATTTTCTCTTAAACTCTAATGATAGGCCAGGCGCGGTGGCTCATGCCTGTAATCCTAGCACTATGGGAGGCCGAGGCGAGCGGATTGCTCAAGGTCAGGAGTTCGAAACCAGCCTGAGCAAGAGCGAGACCCTGGCTCTACAATAAATAGAAAGAAATTAATTGGCCAACTAATATATATAGAAAAAAATTAGCCGGGCATGGTGGCACTTGCCTGTAGTCCCAGCCACTCGGGAGGCTGAGGCAGCAGGATCACTTGAGCCCAGGAGTTTGAGGTTGCTGTGAGCTAGGCTGACGCCACCGCACTCACTCTAGCCTGGGCAACAAAGCGAGACTCTGTCTCAAAAAAAAAAAAAAAAAAAGACACTCTAATGACAGAGCCTGACAGCGTCTGGCAGGTGTAATGAGGGGCCTAGAAGGTGGCCCTGTCTTCTGGTTCTGTCTTTGCTGCATGTCACGCTCCTTTGTGGCTGTGCCTCTGCTTTCCTTCTATGCAATTTTGTCTCTCCAAGTTTTAGAGTTATTCTGATAGAATTTCAAATGTTTATTTTATGCTCTGTGTGATGCTAGGACCATGTCCCAAAGGCTAAGAGCGACACTGGCTTTTGAATTGTTCATGGAGAGCTGGAGTACTCCTGACAGCCTAAGTCCTGCCCCCAGAGTCAGGGGGATCATTTTGGACAGTTTTTCAGAGGGTAATTGTGGTGAAGGCAACATCTGCAGGAAAATCCTGGGGCTACGTGCAGGGCTCTGGCTCCAGAAATAACAGGTCAGCACACGGTCTCACGGTCCAGGCTTGCCCATATCCTTACATCCTATACTAGTTAAAGTAGGCTGACTGCTTTACAAAAAAAGAACAAAAAACCTAACATTCCAGAGGCCTAACAAAGTCAAAGTTTATTTCTCTCTGAAGCAAAGTCCACTGGCACTGGGATGAGGAATGGAGATGGGGTGTCTCTGCTGCATACAGTTATTCAAGGACCCAGGCTGGCAGAGGCTCTGCCATTTTCAACTTGTGGCTTCCAAGGTTGCTAAGGAGTCATCATCCAGTAGCAGGTGGAGAAGGCACATTGAGAACTACAGTGGGAAGGTTTTACAGGTGAAGTCTAGAATTGGCACAACCCATCACTTCCACTCACATTCTATTGGCTGGCACTTAGTCACATGACCATATATAATGCAAAGCATCCTGGGAAGTGTAGTTTCTCTATGTGTCCAGGAAGGAGAGGAAAAGGAAATTTTTATGATCAGCTGGCACTTTTTGACATATTTCTTGAAGTGCTGATTCCAAACCAAATGACATTTAGAAAAGATATTCTGAAAATATTCCAGAACTTTTTCCAAGTTTCCTGTTGCTGTTTTTAACTCAATATTTGAGTTGGACTTGATGAACAGTTGCTTCTGATCTATAGCCATTTCTTCCTGTTATGTCTTATGATCAAAGAATATCACAGCTTCCCTACGATGGGAGCAGGACTAATTTGTTTCTCACAGCCTAAGTTTCCTTGTGAATGGCATGATGAGTGACTGCCTCCTTTTAAGAAGAAAACACCAAAAATTCTTTAAAAGAAAGCTTGTTTCTCTCAATGCAAGACTCAGAGTTTTGCATTTCGCATTATTGTTGGAGTTTTAGTGGAAAACTGCTATGAATACTGCTCTAAAGATGTTCGAACCTGTTTTATCAACAGGCTGCAAAACAGCCTAATAGACAATAATAATAATAATAATAATAATAACAAAAGAATATTTATTTAAAGGACTAGTCCTATAATGACATAGAAAACCTCCCCAGGGTTTAAGTAGGAACCAGAAAATGCTTTTCTCACTGCTACTAAAGTAAGTTATATGCATACATATAATAATATTTGAATGTTTACATCATTTTCATACATTTATGATCATTTTAAGGATATTAAAAATTTCTGCAGTATTAATGAAGTAAGTCACATTGCTAGTAGGCCTTTAAAACCCTATTCCAAGGGAAATATTCCATTACAGGCAAAAATTGTAAAAATATAGTTGAACACGTAGTCTACTGTATAGTAAGACACAAATATTATAAAATTTAACATATACACTACCCTGTGCATACTTCTGATGCTTCTTATACTTTATTATATTTTGTATTTTCACTAAATGTTTTTACACAGACCAATAGTTCTAAAAACCTTATTGTGCATCAGAATCACAGAGAGAGCTTATTAAAAATAGATTACTAAAACCTACCCTGGACCTACTGAATAAAAAAAAAAAAATGGGATTGGAATCTGAACAGACAGTGTCAACTATGCTGCTATGGAATGGAACTTGGCTAAGGTCCTAAGCACCTAATCTTGGACCAGCTACCCATGGCAACCTCTCTCAGGTTCAGAAGGGAACTATACATGCGGGGGAAACACTTTCTGTCTATTGATCTGAAGTTTTAGCTCCCCCTTTCCTTCCCAACATGGAATTCAATCCTACGGGGCTGCACAGGCCACCCGATGGCAGGGGGGTTCCTTTGCCCGGAGAAGGCAGCTAAATAGGCTGGATCCAAATCAAGAACAACGAACCTCTGTCCTCAGACCCACATCCAGTTCTGGTCCTCAAGTGCCTACCACTTTGGTAACTAGACACTGCGAGGAGAGAGAAGCCTGAAGGAAACCCACAAAGGGAAAGAGAGAGTTTCTTCCTATGGCCAAAAGTGACAGGTACCCTTTATATCTGTCACCCTTGCCCCTAAATCCATCTCATCATCCACTACCGATCTCAGATACCCTCCAGATCATGAGGGTTTTTTTTTTTTTTTTTTTTTTTTTTAGAGCTTCATTCTGTTGCCTGGGCTAGAATGCCATGGAGTCAGCCTAACTCACAGCAACCTCAAACTCCTGGGTTCAAGCAATCCTCCTGCCTCAGCCTCCCAAGTAGCTGGGACTACAGGCATGCGCCACCATGCCCGGCTAATTTTTTTCTACATATATTTTAGTTGTCCAGCTAATTTCTTTCTATTTTTAGTAGAGATGGCATCTCACTCTTGTGTTTTCTTTATTAGGTGTGGGAAGAAACGTAGGGATGAGGAGGCATTCTGCTGGATGGCTTTTTAAAATGTTTCCTCCAGAGTCAGCTGCCTCATTAATGATGGTTTTTGTTTTAGAAGTCTCTCTCCAGTTTTATAAACTGCCCGTCACACATTTTCACCATGTCATCTACGGGCGCTTTTCTGCAGTGTTAACGTCATATTCATTGTCACTGGTATCACGATCACCTTGATTCAGAACCAGTTCAGCTAGTTCACCATCAGTCAGTGAATGAATAACCGGAGCCTCATTATCAAGGTTAAAAACATCTTCAATGTCTACTTCTTCCAGCTTACTGACAGACTCTGAAGATAGATATTTGCATATGGAAGGAGGTCAGACATCATTTTTTTTCACTCGACACACAGACTCCTTCGAAGTCACCACCTTGTTCATCATCATCCCTGAACACAGTCGCAGGCCAGAGGCTGTGCCAGGCACGCACGGTGGTGTCCTCAGTCACTGTGTCCCCTCCACTGGCAGCAGCACGTACAGCGTCCTTCGTGCCAAACTCCTTTTGAAACCTGTTCACCGCTGCTAACGTGCTGCTCAAGAAATTGCTTTTATACTTGCTGTTCACTGGTCTGAGGATACCCTGGTCACATGGCTGAATTAATGAAGTCACACCTGAGGGAAAGTGCATGGCATAAACATTATTTTTGATGAGAATTTTAGCTGGAGGATGAGCAGATTTTGTCAAGGAATAACAAAATCTTCCAGGTGTCATCCAGTCCAGCTTCCCTGGAGTGAGCACGAGCAGCTGGCACAAAATGTTTGTGAGACCAACCAGGAAAGATGACCCTGGCAATCTCATGCCTTTTTGTTAGCATAATATGGACTGGTATGAAATTACACAAGCTTTCCCTATCACAGCAAGTTTATACCGACACTTGCGGCTGCATTAGCAACTCCCGCGTAGTTACTCTGTCCTTGGCACTCTGGAAACCTACGAGGGCTGTCTCATCAGTTGCAGTCAGTGTCTTTCTGGGGCAATAACACAAAAACAGTGGTCTTTCATCGGCATTATGCAATTGTTCTGGCCTCAGACTTTCATCAGCAATGGCGCTGGCAAACTCATCAATGAATTTCTCTGCTGTTTCACAGATAAGCAGATGCTTTATCACCACAAATATTTTTCCCTAATTTATTTTTTGGGGCAGGGTCTCACTCTGTCACTTGGGCTAGAATGCAGTGACATCAAGATAGCTCACTGCAGCTTCTAACTCCTGGGCTCAAGTGACACTCCCGCCTCAGCCTCCGTAGTAACTGGGACTCCAGGTGCATGACATCATGCCCAGCTAATTTTTCTACTTTTCGTAGAGATGGGGGTCTCACTCTTTGCTCAGGCTGGTCTCGAACACCTGGCCTGAAGTGATTCTCTTGCCTCGGCTTCCCCAAAGTGCTAAAATTATAGGTGTGAGGCACCAGCACCCAGCCCACCACAAATCTTTAAAAACTTAATTGTGTCTTTTTTTAAAATTTCTGCAGTCAGCCTGTTGGATAGTCACAGTTCCCTTCAATTTACAGTTCATGGTGATAGCTCTTTGCTTGTTTCATGATCAGCGTATCATTCAGTGGCATGTGTTCACTTGCGAAGTTGACGGAGTCACTCTTTTAATGCACAGCTGAGATCTTCATTTTCAGCTTTTCACAGTGTTTTTCTATTTTTCATTAATTTCTGTTCATCACTTTAGCATAGAACTTCAATAGTTTATCCTTCTGTCTCTTCAAGTCATACATAGTGGTCATTCTAACCCCATGCCCTTCTGCAAAATGTTTCACACTCACACTGCTGTCCCGTTTCTCCAACAGTTTGATTTTCTGTGCTGTAGATTATCAAAAAAGTTTCCTATTTTTCTTCTTTATCTTATCACTGTTACCCATGCGGATATCCGTAGGCCTTTTTGCCATGTCCAACAACAGTATCTTTACACCACAGAGCAGAGAACAAGCAGAATACCCGGTGAGTAATGCACAGAGGTCTCGGCTCCCTGTGGGGCTTGGTGGGGAGCCTGTGGTTAGTGCATCGGCCCACACACCTGCCATTTCACTGCCCTTCGTGCTGTCTTGTGGGGGCAATGGGCCGTGCACAGATGTGACCTGTTGCAACTGAAGAGGGCTCGGAGGCTCTTTTTCTCCTTGGGAACACCAAACAAACTGTGCGTTGTATGCTCGCATTTTGACTTTGACCCGTCACGTGAATGACATCAGGTATGGGATTTTCCACTTGTGTGTCACATTGGTGCTCAAACGTTTCGAATTTTGGAGCATCTTGGATTTTGGATTTTCAGATGAGGGATGCTCAACCTAATCCTAATGTATTGTGTGATTCCATTTATATGAAATATCCAGAAAAGGTAAACCTATAGATAAAGAAAAGAGATCAGTGGTCACCTGAGGCTGAAAGTATAGGCAGAATTGACTGGCAAATGGGCACAAGGAAACATTTTGGGATGATAGAAATGTTCTAAAACTGGATTGTGATGATGAGTATACAATTCTATACATTTACTAACAATCATTGAATTATATACTTAAGATAGTTGAATTTTATAGTATGCAAATTATGCTTCAATAAATCTCTTTAAAAAGGTGATATGGCTAGGGTCATGTGTCTCAGAGGAGAGGTGGTAGGAGATGGGACATGATGGAGGAAGATACTACATTAACAAGCAGATAAAATGGGGTGATTGTAGTCTTGATCTAAGGTTACTACATAGGTTCATATATCCATAAAACAATAGTTATGCTTCACTTTTCTACCAGGGACCATTCTTAAAATATACTCTTACAACATGTATTCTTATAAAATATATTGTTATAATATATTCTTATATCCTTAACCCTGTAGAATATAAGTTTCATGACAGCAGATATTTTTGCCTGTTTTTCACAGCTGTTCACCCAGAGTCTCTGGCAGGGCCTGTGATTTAGTAGGCCATGAATAAATATTTGCTGCATGAATGAACAGCTGAGAACCGGGGGACAGAAAACCACCTTTGGGAGGAGCTCAAGCCAGGTGGCTCTTCCAAGGCACTCAGGGTGTAGCCCTGCCAGGCCCTTTAACCTGAACCACTGTCTGGGGTCAGGAAGCTCTGCTCTCTCACCACCAGGCCCACCCCACCTTTCCCTCCCTTTAGCAATACTTTGCGGTAGCTCATGCCACTGTGTTTCAGTTGGAGATGAGGCAATATCCTCACTTCATCTTTCCCCATCTTAACTTCTTTTTTAAAGCTCAATCTGAAAACAACTTAGTTAAAAATGCCTCCTGGGACTCACACCATTTACTCAGCTCCTGCTATTCTGATTACTGTATTTTTCACTTTATCTTTTGAATTTCTGCTCCATTCTTTTGCATTTCTAACTGATAGAATAGAATGCCTTTGCCTTGCCACCTTCTAAGAACCCAGCAATGAAAAGCATGACAGAAATACTTCTTAAATACCCGTGCTTTAGTAGGAGGATGGTTTCCCTCTGTTTGGCATTGCACTGCTAGTCCGTTGCCTTGCTTCACCCTGCTCCTGAAGATGCAGTGCTGACAGCTGCAGCCAGCTAGACAGTCCACTGTAAGGGCCCTGATTTAGGTCTTGCTGGGAAATCACCTACAACACCAAGCTCTTTGTCTTACCCATTGTCTCCCAGACTGTGTAAAAACCTTTGCCGACTGATTTCCCATTAAATTTTAAAAAGGCAGGAAAACAAAGAACCAGAACAATCCTAATGTAAAATTTCTGCATTTCTGTCCCATTAGCAACTTTTAGCTTTTTCCTCCCCATACCTACACACATGTGCGTGCACACACACACACACACACACACACATTCACTTTCATTTTCCTTGCTTGCTTGTTTGTATTTAGTTCCCAATCCTAAGTATTTGAGCTGAATTCTGTATTCCATTCATTAGTGTCATCGCAGAATATATCACATCTTCCCGAGCTCATTTATCATTCCTCCTCCCCTCTCAGCATCATTTTAAATATGCAAAGTCTCATCACCAGTATGACGGTCCCAGCAGCAATTGTCGCTGCCCTTGTGTGCAAAAGGAAATAAAGGAAAGATTGCAGGAACATGATGTGAAGACATCGCCTGCCTTGGAATCATGCGTTCATTCATTTTTATGCATCCAGAAAATTTTTATTAAATTTCTAATATGTGAAGGTCATTGTGGAGGTGCTTTAAGGAATGCTAAGACATAAAACACAGTCTCTTCCTTCAAGAAATTTGCTGCCAAGCAGTGGAAGTAAGAGAGAGATGAAAGAAAAGGAGACGGGATGATGAATGCTAAGCGCCTGAGCCAGTGGGGGTTTCAAAGGAGAGCAAGTCTGTAGTCAGAGCAAGTGTCATGAGGCAGTGGTTTGGTGATGGCATTTGGCATCTGAGCTGGGCCTTAGTGGATGAGTAAGATTTGAAAATAGAGACAGGGAGGCAGAGGAGAAGGAATTCTAGGGAGAGGGAGTGGCATGAACAAAACCATGGCAACAGAAGAGCTCACATTGTGTTTGAGAACAAGACCATCACCAAGACGGGACGTCGCCGTCATCAGAAGCACCCAGAAGGCAGAGCAATGACCCAGTGCTCTGGTGACACCCAAGTGTCACCAAGAGACCCTGCTGGACTGCTCTTCCCACTTCTCTCTAGAGGGCCAGCTCCTTCTCATACCCTCAACTCTGAGGTTATATGTCACCTCCTCAAAAAGGTCCTTCTCTGACCACCACATTCACAGTAGGACTCCTTCCTGCCAGTGTTCTTCTCTCAGCCCTCCTCTTTTAAATCATAACACGTGTCATGATTTATAATCATTTCGTTGATATGTTTGCTTACCTGTCTGTCTCCAACAATAGCATCTAAACTCTCGGATCACAGAGACCGTGTCTGCTTGCTTGGTGCCCGAAAACTAGTTGGAATGCAGTTACTATTCGTTGATTGAATGAATGAATAATTGTATTATGAATGAACAAGCGAATGCTACATTTTTTGAGAGAGAAGGCTTGATGGATTCATTTTATTTATTTATTTATTTTACATTTAATGAGTGTATGCTTTATTACTTGTCTTTAAATCTTTCACTAAAGTTCCTTTACTGAATATATATTCTATATTGCAGGGGAAGTCACTTTATGACTTTCATGGGACTTAGGCGTTTTTTGCCTTTCATGGGCCTCTTCCTTCAAAGAAAATTAAAAATTATGTTTTATAACTGTGCTGGTATAAATACGAATATAATTCAACTTGAATTATGTTCACTTTTTCCTTTTGATTTTAAAAGAAATGAAACCATGAGGGACCTCTAAAAGTATTGTGGGCCATAGGTGGCTGACCTCCTGGACCTAACAGATAAGTCAGCCCTGGGAATAGCAAAACATTTTTAAAGCATTAATGGGAAGCAAGGCTAGACAAATAATATACAATAAGATTGTGGAAGGTCTCGTACATTAGATTTCGAGTTTAATATATGTGAACTTTATTTAGTAGGCACGAAAAATCACAGCGTGAGTCTGAGCTAAAGAATGGTGTGGTTTTAATATGCCAGAGCCACTGTAGGGAGAAGAAGCTGTGGGACAGAAAGAGAAGATGCTGATCGGGAAGGGCCAGCATGTGGTCCAGACCCCACGAGGTGAAAAGAGATCTGAACTGTGCTGGTGAGAGAGAATGGAAATAGTGGCCTCTGGAGAAGACAGACATGGTGGGGAGCATGATGAGTTTGGTCTGCGATAAGTTTAGGGGAAGGGGTGATAGCAGAACAACCAAATGGAATGTTTTAGCAGTCAGGCACTCACAAATTTAAGTCTGGAATTCTTTAGCTTCAAGATTTTAAAGAACGTTCAGCCAACTTCAAGCTTCTTTAAATCAGTAAAGACTATCTCTAACCAACCATTCAAGTGGTGCCTTCTCTTTGGGCTGGCTGATTTGTCCTTGTCACTCTCCCCAGTAAGAGGTCCCCCAAGTCTCCTGCCTCTGCATTCTTCTTAGCCAAGGAAAAGAGAGATTCAAATGAATTCTTTTCCAAGAGAAAGTAAATGTAGGGTTCAATACGTTCACCCTTCTTCTCCATGGTCTCTAATTTAATGAGCTAACTGGTCCTAGATGATTAGCTTAATATTTTGAATTAGTAGAGTCTTAATTGTTTTTTTTTTTTTTTCTGTAAACCTGATACCCAAGTACGAGGCCTGCAGCATTTCAACAGGTCCTGGCCAAAAAGAAACTTGGATGGGAGAAGGGCAACTTCAGCAGCAGAGGCCCGGGAATGATGAGAGCTGCAGGGCTCCTAGTGTCACTGTTCATACCGTGTGAAACAGACGCCACAGTGGGCAACTTCCCCCAAGCTCCACCCCTGCCCTAAGCTACTGGGCTGTTGTGAATTTTTGTTATTAGAATCAGGCTGTACCACTAGAGTGATGAGAGTAATAGCTATCCCTCTGCGTGGAATTTTAGAAACTACCCTTTACTTACAAAGTTCTTCTGAGACATTCTAATTTTTACCTTTTACTACAAAACCAGGCCATGATATCACAGGTGGAGTGTCTTCTTAATTAATATGCATGTGTCTCTGCCGTTCTATTTGTAAAATGGAGGAAATACTAGTGGATCACTCATGGAATAGCAGTGAGGATTGAATGAATTAGTTTATGTTCAGTACTTAAGAGAGTGCCCGGTTCATATGAACTGCTCAATAAATGTTAGCTTTTTAATTTTTATCCTGGTAGCTCTCATCCAGAATCCTTCTTTTATCTACTCCATTTTATTTCCTGAAAATGGAAATTGTACACTATCTGCATCAAAATCCCTTAAACATCCTGTTGAATATAGATCTCAGGCCCCACCCTAGAGCAATGGAATAGCGATCTCTGGGAATGGGTCCCAGAAATCAACATTTGCACATTTTTTTTTAAAGATATGTCGGTGTCCCTAGAGTTTGAGACCACCAGCCTGCTGGGTGTCCATAGGTATGGAAGAAATTTCTGCCCTGGACTCCAGGTCCTGCTACCTGGGCCAGCTATGAAACGCATTCCAACATCTGGAACCCCAAGAAAGAAATGTGCTGATTGCTCAAGAAGGCACAGTGGAGCCTGGGTCAGGCTGAGGTCAACAAGGGCACGCTGAAGACCACCCGACTGCTGCTGCACTCCTCAACCTCGGTCTAGAAAGCTGCCTCCTGGTCTGTGGTGCTCAGTCACCAGGGCGCGCCTGCCACGGCACAGCCTTCCTGGAAGGAGGTCTGTTTAGGGGGTGCTGATGCTTTCAGTACATCTGCCACCCCATCAGCCAAGTCACAGACAGAACATGTGTGATTCTTGCTGCCTCCTGCCTGTGAGCTGTCTGGTTCCCTGGCCCGCCGGCAAACCAGATGATTTATTTTGAACCACAGCTCAAAACTGATGAGACGTTTGAATGTAACTCCTTCGAGTAACCCCACCCCAGAGCAGCTACTGCACGTCTCGTATGTTAAGTATGAGAATCTCGCCGCATCCTCATAGCAATCGCAGTACACGATAGTCAGCCCTTACTTTTCCGTAGGGCTTTGTGGTTGGTTGTCAAAGGAACTTTTCTGCCCATTATCTAGCATTCCCTCACAATGAGAATTAGAAAAAACAGGCATCTCTTCTGCTTTCCAGAAAATGAATCATCAAGGAGTCTATGTAACTTACCTAACTTTATCTAACAGATTCAAGGCTCACATGGAACATAATTCTCGATACTCTGACCCTTGGTGTGGGCTTGTCCTGCCCACCCCACCCCCAATGCTGCTTCCAGTTGTCATGTCACCGGGGTAGAGATTAGGGTCACTGGCTCTGGGACTACACTTCGAATCTTGAGCCCATCACTCAGTGGCTTCATGACAGCCAGAAAACACACCTCCCAGGGGGGAGGTAAAGGTACACTGTGAAGCCCTGTGCCTGGCACACAGTTAACACCCCATAGTTGTCACTTGTTATTGTCGTTGCGACTATTATTAACCACAGACTTCACTGACAGTCAGGGACAGTGGTTCTGATCAACATGGCTAAGATTCCAGCAGGTGTCTGTCTCCTCTCCTACCTAACCTTTTTTGGTAAGAGGACAAAATGGTTATTACGTTCCACTTTTGTCTTTTTTGCTTTGATAAAACAGAGAAACCCTTCGGAATTTATTCTCCAATTGTTAAGAACATTAGACTAAATGATTACTATAGGAAATTGTGTTTGACACAGGGGATACAATTCTTTTCCTAGAGAGATGAATTTAAATTGTACCCTTGTCCCAAATCAAATGAGTTCATTTACTCTGTTTTGTTACATCAAACAAGTATTGAAAATACTAAATGCTTAAGAGATGCACCAGATCAAGTGAGTGTGTGAGCTATGATCAAGCAAGGAGAAGATGTTGGATGAATTTCCCTGATACCTGCTTGGCTTGGTGAGTTGGTTCCTGACTAATTTCTTTATAACACCTTGAAATTCAGAAGAAATGTATTAAATAAATGAATAAACAAAAATGTTGGCACCCAGGGAACCATTTACCTTAGCTGATGTAATTATGACTTTCATTTACTTACAGTCAGGGAGAGTTTATGAACAACAATTCACTTCATTGCCACTCCTGTATACATCTTTTGCTCCACATATAACACTTACCAGGACCCTAATAGGACCTTGGGGAGTTGGCACAGCAGGGCAGGAGAGTAAGACGCCTGTCGGGCTACAGGCTGTGGAGGTTCTCGGTGTGGAACAAACCCCCGGCCGAGGCCACATCTTCGAAGACAAGCATGTTAACATGAGAGCCTGTATTCTCTGAACCTCTAGGGGGGACGGTCCCCTTCCTGCTTGCCTCTACTCCTCCCCACCCAACTCCCCCGAAGCGGTTGGTACCATGGGAATTTCTCACATCCAGGCAGGACAAACGAAGCTTGAGCATCAGAGTAGCCATGACATGTGGAGAAGTGACCCACGAGGGGGACCTAACCTAAGAAAACGGTTTATAAGAAAACAGAACTAATACCAGGGATATTCCCAGCGGCCCGACTTTTAAGGAGAAACATGTAAGGAACTAAAAACCACATGAGTATGTAGAAGGGCCAGAAATACCACAATGGAAACCAACATGGAATACTACAGAGTTTAAAAATAACACGTCTGTGGAATACAAACATGTAGAAATGCTCATATAAAACAGGATGAAATGGAAAGTCACAACAATCCATGTTAAAATTAATTTATACGTCTGCATCAAATTGTTGAACAAAATGCTATAAAAAACCTCACAGCCCAAGAGACTAGAATCCTTATGAATTTATCCTATCCCAACTTAAATGGACCACACAACCATATTACTACATTTCTTTAGTAAAGGCATTTGCTCAGTCTGGCAGGTTCTATTTCAGACTCCTTCCACCAGCCTCAAACTTCCCAGCCTTCTTGTAATGAAATGCTAGAAGCTGTTTGTAATTCTCACTGTGCCAGCTCACACTGAACAACACAATCCCTCCCCTTTCCTTCGTTCCAGCCCCCCTGGCCTTTCGGATCTTTGAATTTGTCACATGCTTTCCTTCCTGAAGGTTTTCCCCTGCGCATTTCTCTTGTCCCAAGTCAGTCGACTAGACTTAAGTTTCATGGGTATGTGCCTCCACCCCATTGCTCCTGGGAGTCTACACTTTTGCCTTCAGAGCTCTTAGCACACTTTGTAACTATAAATGTATTTACATGGTTGTTGTTTTATTGTGTCCTCCTTTCCCCAAAAGACAGTAAGCTCCATGAGGAATGTGATGATTAGTTTTATGTGTCAACTTGATTGGGCCAGATGGTGCCCAGATATTTGGCCAAACATTATTCTGGGTGTTTGTGTGAGGGTGTTTTTGGATGAGATTAATGTTCAAATTGGTAGACTGAGTAAAGCACATTGCCCTCCCTAATGTGACAGGCCTCATCCAATCACTTGAAGATGTAAATAGGATCAAAAGGCCGACCCTCCCCAAGGTAAGAGAGAATTCTTTCTGCCTGACTGCCTTTGAACTGTGACACTGGCTTTTTTGCTGCCTTCCAGATCCTGGATCTTGAGCCTGCTGGCCTTTGGGCAGGTACTACCCCATCAGTTCCCCTAGGTCTCAGCCTTCAGACTCAGACTGATGGTAAACCACCAGCTCTCTTGGGTTTCCAATTGCTGACTCACCCTGCACATCTTAGGCCTTGCACACCTTCCTAATCACATGAGACAATTACTTGTAATAAACCTCTTTCTAAGCTATACACAACTCTTTAGTTTTGCTTCTCTGGGGAACCCTGATACAAGGAATAATATCTGAGATGTGCACAATCATATATCTACCTAGCACCAACACACTGCATGGCCTAGACTGGTTGTCTACTACAACTTTACTGAACAAACATATGTAGATATGTATGTACAGATGGACAGACAGATGAGAGGATGGGTGGATGAAGTGATGTGAATATAATATTCATTGTTTTGTGAATTTGTTTTATTTTTTCTATGAAAAAAATTCCCTTTGGTATATGTAGATTATTGAATAATACCCGTGCTTACTTGAGTAGTGCTTTCTGTTTTTCAAAGCATTTTCATATGCAACAGTAAGGTTTTTTTGTTCTTAGACCTCTATGAGGTAGAAATTATTCCATATTCACATTTGAAGAAATAGAGGTTCAGAGAAATTAACTAATTTTCCCAAGGTCATACAGTGAACAAAGTGGTAGAGCAAGATCTAGAATCTAGACCTTTTAGATTCTTGCCAAGGATAAACTTGGACCCCTCTGCCTCTGTGGCCACTTTTAGGCCACTGTGTCTACTGTAAAGTGCACTAGTGAGCCCTGGGGGTGTTAAACAGCACAAAGCTTTTCCCTGACGGGCCTTTCTGCTGTTCAGGGATGACAGGAGGTGAAGGTGTCGCCATCTGGGGAGAAGGTCCTGGCCCTGGCCATGTGGGCTAAAATGGTGAGGTCATGAGTGGTGGTCAGTCATGGCTCTCGGGTCACTCTTTCTCACATGCAACCCACAGTTGCTCCGTGCCTCATTTTCAGTGTCACTCTGGTGCTCATGCAATAGTCAAATCAAACTGTCGATTAACGAGAATTGCACAGGTGGCTCCTAGACACCAAGCTCGGACGCAGCACAACAGCATGGCTAAGCAGGGGCTCGTAGGCCAAGCCCCTGGGTGGAGCCCCAAAGGTGTTGTCAGAAAAGTCAAATGACACGGAGAAGTCAAGGAGAGCCAACCTGTATATTCCAGCACTGACTGTCACACTAGCAAAGCCATGACCTTGTTTATTATCTTGTTCATCCTATCTGAATATTTACAAAAATATAAACTCAAAGGGCAGAGGTGTGGTGGGGGGTGGCCTACAATATAAAATAACAAATAGTCAAACGAAGGTCTGGTTCACAATTTGTATGCAGAAAACCCTTTCCAATGGCATATGCTTTTAGTGCACCCTTTTTATCACTTCGATTTCACATCCTGTTAGAGCCTTCATCTTCCTTTCAGCCCCTGTCTACAGCAGCTTTCACGAAGAGCCGATGACAGCTGCGTCTGCTGGGAAAACCACAGCCTCATTTCTCTCCCCTCAGTCGCATCTTAGGACTGTGATAGTTGCCACCATGTCACAAGGTGGGGGTGGCCAGGCCGGCAGCGTGGGGAATGCTTATTTCTTCCCTGACAGCATCCGTGTAATTCCAGCGCTGCCTCCAGGCCAATGGCAGTCGGCACCCGATGTTGACTGCACAGGCCCAGTGCTGGGATTTACCCCAGACAAGGGCAACTAAAACTAATCAGGAGGTGAATGCGCATTGCATTTTATGTGCATTGCCTTTTATGGCTTTGAATGTGCATTTCGTACTGTTAAATTACTAAATTTTTGACTCCTGTTTTTGCATTATAATACTAAAATGATAGCATAGTTCATTCCTTGAGGGGCACAGTGTAAGAAGATTAAAGCAAACAAATCCAATAATGAAAATAGCTATCATTTTTAACACTTCATCTGTTATATTTTTCATTTCTCACAATAACCCATTTTACTAATAAGGAAAATGTGATTCAAGATGCTAGAAGAGACTTACCCGGTAGGGAGTAGAGTTGGAAGTCAGGAGCTTAAAAGTCTCTTGCCAACTATGTTATTAATTATCTGAGTGGCCTTAGGTAAGTCTCTTTACCTCTCTGGGCTTCAGTTTCCTTTTGGAAAAGGAAATGAGTGAGTTAGACTTGCAGATGGAATAAGTCCTTTTTGCTCTAAGTGTCTTCATGATGAATCTTATCACTCTCCTTCATCAGTGATTATTCTAGGTCTTGTTTGGGGGTTTTGTTTTTGTTTCTCTTAATCCACATAATTTTCTCATTATCCAACTCTCAACTTACCACTTCTCAGAGAGGATTTCCCTGGCCAATCCTGCTAGAATAGCTTGCCCATTCTCCTCCACTCATTACCATGTTGCCAGGTTTTATTTTATTCATGGAACTTTTCTTTCATTCTCTCTCCTTCCTTCCTTCCTTCCTTCCTTCCTTCCTTCCTTCCTTCCTTCCTTCCTTCCTTCCTTTCTTCTTTCCTTCCTTCCTCCCTTTCTTACTTCTTTCCTTCCTCCCCTCTTCCTTCCTTCACCTGAGAAAATGTAAGCTTTATGAGGACAAGGCTGTTGTCTGCACTGTCATGCTGAAACACCAGTGTTGGATCTCCCAGTACCTCACAAGGTCTACACACCTCAGCATGGCATGTACTACTGCCACAAACTGGTTGCCATTCTCCCTGCAGAACAAAGCAAGCAATCAATAAATATACGTTGATTAAATTACTGAATAAATCCAATTCGTCACAAGTTCATTTGATTCTGCTACAGAAAACTCTAGAACTGTGCTGTTCAATCTGGTAGTAAATAGCACATGTGGCTATTTAAATTTAAAGTAATTTAAAGTAAAAGTTCAGTCCCTCAGCCCCACCGGCCACATTTCCAGTACGTGGGAGCCATGTGTGGCTCGGGGCTTGCCTCAGCAGACAGCGCAGAACAGAACATTTCCCTCACTGCAGAGCGTCCTACCGAAGAGTGCTTGGCCCTTCCTCTCCAGCTCTCCATGATGGCTCACCTGCGTGCTCGTGACGGCCTTCCAGCTGTCCTGTGAGCCTTCCCTTCTGCGTTAGTCCATTCTCCGTACTGCCCCATTTATTTACTTCATTTGTGCATGCAGCAAATATTTAAGGAGGACCTTCTATATCCCAGGCGCTGTACTAGGCACAAAAGACCAACAACAAGGCACAAAGTCAGGTCTCGTCCTGACTCAGTGAGCTCACAGGCTAGGGAAAGTATGTGTCTGTCATTCGCATGGTTAAAGACTAATGTGGATCCTCCTTGCCGAAGCACCTCACGGGGGCCCAGACCGCGTTGCTGTGCTCTGCGGGATGCGGCAACGTCCGCTCTGCTGCTTCAGGAGGGCGCCGGCTGAAACGACTGGCCCTGTATGCGGGCTGTGGGGGTGTGAGGGGGGCGGGGTGAGGTGTGCGTGGCGGGTGGTGTGTGCGGTGTGCGCGTGCATCCCTGCCGCCAGGAGGTTGCACTCGCTCTCTGGGCCCGGAGGAGGGACGCGCTGGAGGGCGCAGGGTCTGACCCGCTCCGGCCTCATTTCAGCTCTTCCCTCCCCTCCCCCGCGGGTTCTGTAGCCAGTACCCCCTCCCCCAGCACCTCCCCGCTGTTCCCCCTTGTCTGCGGACCCGGTCACACCTCAGTGCCTTTGCACAGGCCCGTCCCTCCGTGGGATTTTCTTTCTCACTTAACCCGACGAATGTCCACTCATCCTTCCAAACCCACGTCACACGGCCCTTTCTGTGAATCTTCCTTGGCAGTCCAGACAAGCCAGGGGCTCTCTTTTCTCCGAGTGCCTGCAGGTGTCTGTGGGGAAGTCCAGCATGACGCCGAGGGTGCTCACTCTCACCCCTCATTTCCATACGGCTCCCTCCAGCGGACGGGGCTCCTCCAGGTGGAGAATTAATCCAGCATCATAGCCCAGTGCACAAAATACAATCGGTTCCCAAGAAATGATTTTGGACAAATTGCTAAACGAATGATGGATGGATGAACAAACGAGTGAATAAATGTATGAATATTATGAAAGTGCCTGTCTGCAGTTCTGTAAGGAGATGGCATTGGTTCTAGAACTTCAAAATAGAATAAAAAGATCATAACTGTCTGCTTACTCTTATCAAAGAGAAAATGTTATTTTTCTTCTTAACGTTCTTATTTCCTACTTTCAATGTCCCATCTGCCCTATTTTTCATGGGGGATCTGCCCTATTTTTCATGGGGGATCTGCCCTATTTTTCATGGGGGAAAACATCTTTTCTTTCAAGTTCCCACAAGCATTCCCTTGTAGCTAGCCAAAACTCTAGCAGTTCACCTCTAAACGCTGTACGTCCCAAGGCGCTCTTTCTTCTGATTGGGGACACGACTCTCTGCCACCGAAATGCTTACCAGCCCCTCCCCACTTTGATATCAGGACTCCAATCAAAACTGTTTGGTACAAATTATAAATTTTTTTCATTAAATATTATTATGTTACTATGTGAGTGTTCTATAAACCATTCTGAAGCCGGCCTAACATTTCTTAATGTTTCCCGGACCTTTGAAGACCTAATCAAACCAAAGACAAAGCCCATGAAATAGTTGTACAGAGCTTCCCTCCCAGGTGCCCAACCAGTTTGCTATTTCTACAGTTCTTCAAAGGAAAGGAAGAGGGGGCCCTGACACCCTTCAACTAGCCAGTTCCACAAGCCAAATGTTAATTAACACATCCAACTGGCTCATGAACTTCTTGGGGTTTGAGTAGATTTTCTTGACATTTGGGGATCTTTTAAGTGTGCAGACTCTGCTCCCTCATGTCTGCTCCTCCAGGTGACTGTGCAGACACATCATCAAAGCAGGGCCTGGGTGTCTTCCACCCAAAGTGCACGCCCTATAGCCCTAGCTTCTCCAGGGTCTCCCCGCAGTGTGAGCCCCATGCCTTTCGCTACAGGTTGGGGAAGGAGAAGGGGGTTATAACACATCTATACTAACTATTCCTTAGAATGACTTTAGTCAAATCTGCTAGGATCAATTATACAAGAGCAATATTTCAACATCACAAATTCCTAGTTGCTAAAATCTTTTACTAGTCACTTCATCAGCAATAGTAAGAGGCTAAGCCATATCTAGTCTTTTATTAGGCCTAAAATTTTGGACATACAAAATTAAAATCCTTGAACAGAGTGTGCATTGGGCTGTGCGTGTGTGCACGTGTGTTAGATCATCAGGGTTTCATTAGGTAATTAATATTAAGCCACCACCAAGTGAGGGAGTCTTTGTAAAAAATAAAAGCTTATAGAGGCTCAGGACTACCCAACTGTGACTTTTCCTATAAAAGAGGTAATCCTCCACAGATTGTGAAACTTTTGTTGACTTGTAACTACTGAAAAAAAACTGATCTTAATTTGAGGGAAGTATTACGGGTTTCTCGGGAAAAGGTGTTGTGTAAATATAGTGGTTCTGCCTCATTATCCTGGCTTACCCTGGGAAATTGGAAGCTCATGTAACACATTAACCTACCTCAAGTATATATACAGATTTAATGAGAACACTGGACATTTGTTCCGCATCTTAGGAAAGATCAAAAAAGAAAAAAAATAAGGCCTAAGTTTCAACCCTAGAAAGCATGATCAGACTTAAGACGGAACACCGTGATTATAAAGCTGGTTTATGCATATTTCCTGAAAAAGAGCAGGGAATTTGACAATTATTTACTGAGGGACTGCTGTGTAGAAGGTTTGGGTTGTGGAGGATAGAAAGAAAAGTAAGATGCCTACAGCCTATGTCCTCCAAGAGGTCTCCATCTAATTGGAGAGATAAGAAAGTCACTCACAAAATGACGGTTCATGTAGGATAGTGACTAAAGATATGGCACGGGACGGTGGACACAGGGCCGAGCAGACGGAACACTCTGAGCCCGGAACAGGAAGAGAAAAGAAGCCATGCGCTGAAGAAACCGGAAGTGTTGGTGCTGAGCCTGGAAGGATGGAAAGGGTTTCGAGAAGTGGAGAGGAGGATGCAAAGACATACTTCAAAAGAGGGGTTGCCAAATACTTTAAAATTAAGCTAGAAGGACAAATATTGTATGATTCTACTTATATGAGTACCTAAGGTAGTAAAATTCATAAAGACAGAAAGTAGAACTATGGTTGCTAGGGGATGGGGGGAAGGACAGGGGTTGATTTATCTATTTATTTTTGGAGACAGGGTCTCACTCTGTCATCCAGGCTGTAGTTCAGTGACTGGATCCCAGCTTACAGAAACCCAGAACTCCCAGGCTCAAGCCATCCTACCGCCTCAGCCTCTGGAGCAGCTGGGACGACAGGCGTGAGACCCGGCGCCCAGTTAATTCTTCAGTGGGCACAGAGCCTCAGTCTGGGAAGATGAAATAGTTCCGGAGATGGTTGGTAGAGACAGTGGCCCAACAATGCGAACGTGCGTGATGCCACTGAACTGTACGCTTAAAAAGGGTTAAAATGATAAATGTTATATTATGTATATTTTACATTTTTTATAAAAGCTTGAGGTAAACAATGATCTGTCTCCAGAGAGAGGGGATGCGTTCATCCCAAACTCTTGAGATGCCTTTTCCTTCTCCGATTCCATATTGACTGTATCAGCGGCCCACTGACAGCAAATGGATGGAATATAACGTATTCCTGGCTGCTGCACGTTAGGAAGGTATGTGATGGCTGTGGTTGGCTAGAATTAGAAACAGACACATAGACCAATGAAACAGAATAGAGAGCCCAGAAATATAACCAAGCATGTAAGGTCAACGAATCTTCAACAAGGGCACTAAGAATAGACGATGAGGAAAGAGGACAGTCTCTTCAATTAATGGTGTTGGGAGAACTGGATATCTGCATGCAGAAGGATGAAATTGGACCCTTATTTTACACCTACACAAAAATCAATTCAAAATGGTTTAAAGACTTAAGCATAAGACTTAAAACCATAAAAGTCCTAGAGGAAAAGTTAGGGGAAAAGTTTCTTGACATTGGTCTTAGCAATGATTTTTTTGAATATGACATCAAAAGCTCGGGCAACAAAAGCAAAAATAAACAAGTGGGACTACATCAAACTAAAAATCTTCTGCACAACAAAGGAAACAATCACCAAAATGAAAAGACAACCTACAGGTTGGGAAAATATATTTCTCCCTGAATTATTTTTTAACAGCATTGAAATTTATTGCACAAATAACAGAACTTCTTTTTTAAAAGATAAAGAAAAGAAACTATGAAACTATGTTAAAAGAAACTATGCTAAATTATGTTAAAAGAAACTATGTTAAAAAGAAAACAGTTTCACTGTTTAAAAAAAAAAGAAAGAAAAGAAAATGGAACCCTCATTGTTTAAGCCACTTTGAGGTTGGTATTCTGTTTACTTGCAGCCAGGACCATTCCAATGGACAGACTACGCTAGTACAAAAATAGCTCTGTGACACATTGTGGGGAACCTAAATCCAGCTGGAGTTTACCCTTGCTTCCCAAAAACAAAGATGTTTATTTCCCTTTCTTCATTGCATGGCAGGCAAAAGAAAGGGCAGGGCACAAAAACAACAAGAATATCTAGCACTGGACTTGGAAGGACACAGGGTCATCAGGAAGTCAGCTGGTATGGTCGTAAACAGTAAATAGCCAGCGTGTTGCCGTGTGTTGGAAAGAATCACATTCTCTGCTGTAGCTGAGAAGGTTGTGTATAGAGGGAGCATTGGGTGAGAGCGTACACCAAGACTAAGGGTTCTGAAGGTGACAGGGTCCAGAGGCAAGCAAGAAACACCCCAGTGGAACTGGAGGGGGCAGAATACTTACAGTGTGGGTCAAGAAGAGGATCAGGAGAATCCAAAAACACAGAAACCCAGGCGTACACCAGGCCACTGTCTTTTCTCGGCTCAGCTCTGTAGGCTTCAGTGATTCTCAACTGGGCCTTTTGCTTGTAAAGACCCAAGTTCAAGTGCCCCTCGACATAGTGGTGTAGAGATATACCAGGGCTGTTCCGGGGTGTGCTTTGAAATAAAGATTCTGGTGCTTTTTCATGAGAAGATTTTTCCATTAAGGTAAATATCTTTCTGACGCTATTATAATTTGGATATGTATTAAGCACCTTCATTAGCTAGTGGTATGATAGCTACCTCCAAAGTTGATTAAACAGGCACAGCCAAGGAAGGGAAGACAGTTCCATCTGTCCGGTAAAGATGCTGGCAGCCCTGAGAGAGAGGTGCAGGCATGAGGCAATCTGTCACATCCCAGCTATGCGTGTCCTGTGGTGCTCGTAACAGGAACCAAGGTGCTACGCCAGGCAGCTGTCCCCTAGGACTGGGACTCCTTGACCCAAGACAACTAGAATTAAATCACTTACCTCTCCAAAAAAAGAAGAGATGTAATTTTTGGCATGGCCTAACTTCTTCCCCATGCTAGGTTTATGTTTTTTTTTTAAAGAGAACTTCAAGTTCCCTGATAGGAAGCTGGTCCTAATCCTTGGCAAAGGACCATGTAAAAGAGAATTCATAGCTGTGAACGAATGCATATGAATTTCCTCATAAAACTGAAGCCCATGGGAAATATGGCTGATCCCAACCATCGGGGGTTAGTAAATCTTCCCACAAGGCTCTGCTTGCTTTACAGCCAAAAATGGAATCAGGAACTCCAATTCCTATCATCTGATTCTGATCAAGGGCAGAGTCCTTTGGCTATTCTCTCTGCACTCAAAGAATGTGATATTATTCCCCTGATAGCGCACGAATTCTCCACGAGTTGCAGAGTCCCAAAGGAGGTGCTCTGCATCTGGTGAAAATGAATTTCCATGGAAAATGTGGCACAGGCATTACCTTTTGGGTCTCAGAAATCACTGAATCAGGTTCTATATGAAAAAGACTTCTCATTAAACCTGCACTTTGGGGAAGTGGCTCTCGGAAGGTTTGTGGGAGTCCTGAGGGTCCTGCAGGGCCTTTCTGGGGCCCTTAGAGCTGTTTTATTTCAGTTGTAAAGAGGGGGTGATGTGGAGCAGGAAGCAGTGCGTGCAGTTTGATCTGGGCTTAAGTACAGAGCCAGCTGCTTCCTCACCTTATGATATTAGACAACTTAATTTCTCTGGGCTCTTAGCTTATATTGTCTCACAGACAATACATTAAGTAAAATGCCTAAGATAACACAAAGGATCCCATTATCAAAGGGGATTGACAAGAGTAATGATCTTACCCAGTATCACACTTCACTAATAATTTCAATAAAATAAGCCATCCCAAGGCTCAGGTGAAGCCGGGGTGGCCCGGGACCCATGCAGCTCCCCAGGTCCTTTCCTGCCACATGAAGATAGTCCCTTGCCTAGATTAACACAACGATCTTCAAGCCACGTATGTGGCACTTCCCCTGCATAGAAAAGACCATCACGAAATATCTTCAAATTATCCTCTGTCATTTAATTTAATTGACCTTTTGTCAGCACCCATGCCCAATACGGGCATAAATTCCAGATGAGCAACAAAGGAGCAACCCAGGCAGACCAGGTGCCTCCTTCTAAAAGGATTCCATAGATAAGGACCCTGTGATGGCAAATATCATTAGGGTGTTTACCTGGAGGTCTGTCCTTAGCACGCTCACAGGAAGATTTGATTAGGTTACCTGCTTGCTTTCTTTCCCATAGGTTTGCTTCTGGCAAAGAGAGAGGATGGATTATAGGCCTATCATTGAACATTTCCTGCCCAACACCTAACCCAGAGTAGGACTTGACCCCGTGGTGGCTTTGATCACATTATTACGAATAATCATGGTAACAGGACTATGCTTACACTTCCATTCTACCTGATTTCACAGGTTCTGCATAGGTCAGCCTGTCTGTCTCCTGCCACTCTCCACTCTGCCCTCCCTTCCCCAGTTGTGTGTGGTTCTTACCTCTGCCTTTTCTCCCTGACTCTAGTCCACTGTTCTAGCCATTTCTCAAGGACAGTCCAAGTCCCCTTTCCCCTGGCAAGCGTCCAAGCCTACGTATGCCCTCTTTCATTGCACCTTTTCTACCCCTATAATCCAGGACCTAACGCTGAACATAGAGTATCTTACATTACACTGTTTCTTACTTTTGCATGAATGACAGTCTTCTTGGTCCAAATAGATCATGAGCCCCATTAGACTGAGAGCTCTAACTTCATTTGAGTCACTTTCTCAAGGAAGTGTCCCTTGAGCCACCTTCCCAACAAATGTGGTCCCCCTGGTAATGGCCCTATTAGCACCTCACTTATATTGTAATGACATCATAATTTCTTGTAATGCCTGATTTAACTGTTGTCTTTTCTTAGGGGCAACAAACTCCAGGACAGGGTCATGTCTCTCTTGCTTGCTCTTATCTCCCTAGTGCCTGGCACAGCACCGGGCAAAAAGTGGATAACTAATATGTGTTGAAGAAAGAGTTTTCTAGAGGCAAAACTAGGTGGAGCAGGGAAGCTCACTAATTTCTGTAATGAACATATGGAGCATCTCCTCTGGGTACTCAGGATGCAAAGATGTATAAGACTCGATTTCAGTCATCTGGTTTCTGGATTAAAAGAGTCTGAGTCAATTTCTTTACCAACACCATTTGGGTCTCCAGATATGTAAAAAAGAGATATGCAGATAAAATCAAAACCAGATCTCATTAATTAAGCTCAATGAGCTAATGTTAGGAAAGGAGAAAAATCAGGGGACTGCAGCTCGGGAAGGCTGCAGGTGCCCTCAGGAAGATGTCCTACCCCCTGTGACCTCTTCTTTGCCAGATGGCCACCATACGTGCTCTACTACTGGCCCCAGTTCATGTGAAAAGCAATCCTTACATTGAGCTGCAGTTCCATAGCTAATGTATCCCTTTCTCACCTTTCACCTCCACGTTCCTTGTGAGCAGTACTCCATCTGTGCAGGTATATGCTAGAATCCATCTCTGGAAACTGTAACTTCAACTGATGCAATCCAAACAGCATTCCAACCTGTTTGTAACAGATCTTGGCCACCAACATAACAAAGTCAAAACTATATGTTAATTAACTATAATATTCAAACCAGATAATAATGTGTAATTTTATACATCTTCTATGTAATAAAAGACACCATATTGTCATTGCTTTACCTAAGTCAATGCACTTCTCATGGGTTTAGAATGAGGTGAGTCCATTTCTCAGTGTTCTGAGAAACAAGGGAAGCAGTGAATTTTGTGTTTATTAGTTAGATTTTGGGAAGCTAAAGAGAACCTCTGGTAGACCAACCTCTGAACTCCTCCTGGGAGGAGGGGTTGGGGTTATGGAATGAAGGCAGATAGGCTTGTTGTTCAAGATCTCATGGACTCATTGATGATATTTTCTCAAACATACAGGATGACTCCCTCCTTTCCTTCCTTCCTTCCTTCCTTTCTTTCTTTTTTACTTTCTGTGCCAAATAATCATGTCATGTAGCTCATCTATACCAATATCACCTGGTGCCTTTAGCCAGCTGAAAATCAAAACAAAAGATTGTTTTGATTCTCTCAAAACAATCTGCTGGCTGCTTCTCTTTCCCAGTTAGATTTTTCACCTCATCAATGCTCCTGTCTTTTTATTTCCTCCTGGAAGGTCACCTCCAGGCTCCTTGGTACTCTTTTCAAAGTCTTTTTCCATGCCTCATCTTCCTCTGTGGCCTTATGTTAGCAATATTTCTCTGCCCTCCCACTAAACTGGAGGTCTTGGAAGGCAGGATCTGATTTGCCTTAGCATCCTGCTGCCTTCCAGCAGCCTGGCACACGGTGAGTGTTGAGTAAATGTTGGAATTTAATGAAGACATCGAAATAACATTGAACCAGTGAGCAAACACTCACCGTCTGGGAGGTATAAAAAGAAGTGTGTTTAATGATTCAGATTTGAGTACTTCATCCATCTGTGATGGAGAAACCAGCAGCAGGGATTCTATCCGCTACAACACTGCAGCCCGTGAAGGTAGGGTCAGTGGAGAGGCGGTACCAGGAAAGAACAATAGAAATGTCACCTGTGCCTTATGTGGTCTCTGGGGACAGTTGGACAACAACAATTTAAAGTAAAACCTGGGGGGGGGGGGAGAAACAGACCAAAGAACTCCTTCAACTGGTTTTATTTATTTATTTATTTATTTTGAGACAGAGTCTCACTTTGTTGCCCAGGCTAGAGTGAGTGCCGTGGCATCGGCCTAGCTCACAGCAACCTCAAACTCCTATGCTCAAATAATCCTGCTGCCTCAGCCTCTCGAGTAGCTGGGACTACAGGCATGCGCCACCATGCCCGGCTAATTTTTTCTATATATATTAGTTTGCCAAGTAATTTCTTTCTATTTATAGTAGAGACAGGGTATCGCTCTTGCTCAGGCTGGTTTCGAACTCCTGACCTCGAGCAATCTGCCTGCCTCGGCCTCCCAGAGTGCTAGGATTACAGGTGTGAGCCACTGCGCCCGGCCTTCAACTGGTTTTAATTAAACCAATGTAGCCCCTTTCCCATTTATCAGAAGTCAGTGCATTTTTCTTCCACTTTCTACATCATTTAGAATTCTGACCAATGATCCCAGATGACTCTATTTCTCCGATAAATTTCAGTACCATCTCTAAGGCATTCATTGGGATTGGAAATGAAGGCAAAAAGAATTGCAGTTGCTGCAGAGGCAATTGCTGCCCTCCTCCCCCATCCGTCTACAGGGGGTCTGCAGCCCAGAAGTCCACACAGAGGGACTGACTGGGGCCGTCCCCGGGGCTGTGAACATTATGAAACCAGAACCTCAGAGCTTTGGTGAGAGGGCAGAGTCTTAGGAGGTCCTTCTCGCTGATATGCCTGTGAGTCAGAGTTAGCTGGACTTCTAGAAGTGATGGAACAGTCATTAGTCAAGTCAGACTTGGACTCGAAGTAAAATCTGTCTTGTACTGTAAGCTCAACTCTGCAATTCCTAAAGCCGACCAGCCTGGCCCACTTCCAGACTGCGTGGCATAAACAACAGGAAAGGTGGAACCAGCTCAAGTATCTGATTTGATTAGTGCCCCTCTGTGCACAGGCCTAGCCTCAGGCACCCGGCCCTCTAAGACATCCCCTTAGCTCATCCCCAGGACGTAAACATTTGCTGATGGATAAGTAGTTGGCACAAGCACGTTAAGTCTCTCAGAGGAAAGATACCATCATATAATTTGACACAAATCGTTACAACTTATATACAGAAATAGGATTGGAAAATTTCAGTGGATGTGGTTTGCTTTCTTTCCAATGCCTTCAATTTCTCATCAGAAGTTTAAAACGGATTCGCAGACTGTGTAGTATTAGAGTTTCCAGATTTCTCTCTCCCTCCTAGAAAGGTGGGTGTTTTATTAGAAGCAATAACAATGGCAATTATTGATAATGCCACTATCAATAATGATTGATATGGTATCATTACTCAATGGATCTCTACCTGTGACCAGTGCTGCACTGAAAACCTTTAAATGAGTTGCCCCGTGCTAGTCTGCTAGGGCTGCCGTAACAAAATACCACAGCCCTGGTGGCTTAAACAACAGAAATTAATTTTATCGCAATTCTGGACACAAGAAATCCCAGATCTAGGTGCAGGAAAATTTAGTTTCTGGTGATGCCCCTCTTCCTTGAAGATGGCCACCTTCTTGCTGTGTCCTCATATGGCCGTTCTTCTGTGTACATTGGGGGAAAAGAGAGAGATCTCTGGTGTCTCTTCCTCTTCTTATAAGGACAGCAGTCCTACTGAATTAAGGTCCCATCCTTATGACTTCACGTTAACTTGGTTATCTATATATAAGTCCTGATTCCAATACAGTCATGTTGGAGATTAGAGCTTCAGCATATGAGTGGGGGTGAGGAGAGCACAGTTCAGTCCACACAACCCTACCGAGCCCTCACCACAGCCCAGGACGCCAGAGGCATTCTTTACATTTTCTCAGTGAATAAACTGAGAGTCAAGTCATTTGCCCAAAGTCTCACTGCTAATAAGTGAGTTGGTGGTGGTGGTAGTGCTTTTTCTTTTTAGAGAAAAGAGCTCATTTATATCAATGTCGGGTTGCTAAGAGAAGAGTCAGAAGGAAACTGGCTGGTGAAAACTCAAGCAGAGCAATGAGTCTGTGGCTGTTCCATTCAGTCGAACGAGTCATGGGTCCCCGTACTGAGTTCTGGGGAAAGAAAGACAACACGATCCAGTCGGCATCTTCCGGAAGCTCACCCTCTCAGCAGCAGTGGAGGAGGCCCTGATCTGGATAAAGCTGTAAAGTGGGAAAGTGAGCCCTTGGTCCCCCACTTCCTTTTCTGAGAGACAATTTTGGGTCCCCATTTGCTGCCACTCTACTCAGAGGCCACGTCCTTCAGTGGCCACCTCCCACCTGGCAGTAAGCGCCCCAGCTCGCCTGGAGCCTTCAGTGGTGGGGACCCACTTCTTATTGTCCTTCCCTCACCCCCACTCCATTCTCCAGAACTTTCTTGATCTGTCTTCAATTAAAACACTTTGTTCCAAGTCCCATCCCTTGAGGCAAGTCTCAGCTAGGAAAGGAAAGGTCACAGTTCATTTGTTACTTCTCCTGGGTAATACACTGACCTTTTATTGGTGGCTGCTGGAGCCTGGTGACTTGTGGCACAAATCTCAGGCACCACAGCAGGCAGTGTGGTGGGAACTTTTTGATAGCGGGCGGGTTTGTCCGCGGACGTCAACCCCATGGTGAGAAAGAGAGAATCCACCCTGGGCTTTCCGCAAATAAGGCTGTTTCCGCCTCCACACAGAATGGGGCTGAAGGGTGTCTGACAGCCCTCGGCAGTGTTTCTCTCAGATCCCTCAGACCACACAGTTGAAGTGCGGAAGGCGACGTTGCTTCTGGTCGCCTGCCGGTGACATCCCTGGGAGTGGCCCTCAAGCAGTGATGCCGCAGAGATAGGGCAGAAGTACCTCAGCTCCTTCACCTTCGGGTGGGATCATTCTGAGGCGTGTGTTGTTTCCCTGTGGCGCTCAGTGTGGAAGCCGGAATAATGACATACCTGTTATTGGCCACCTTCTCGTCCCTGTTTTGCTCCTACACTGACCAAGGCTGTCTCCTGCACTTCACAGATCAACTGCGTGCACTCAAATCCTCTCCTCAGGGTTGACTTCTGGAGGGACCCACACAGAGACAGGGCGGCCCCGAGAGGCGCCGGCAGAGAGCGCAGCAGCCCAACAGTGGGCCGCCTGGCGTCCCCTCATGCGGGTGGGGGGTCCGCAGCCCCCTCCCCTCCCCTCCTCAGCCTGGTCATCAGAAGAGGGTGGGAGCCCACCTCACACCTCAGAACTGCTCTGCCCATGGAGATGTCTGAAGAGAACAGCCCCAGCGGATTGTGCTTCCCTAACTGTGGACTCCATCCTCTCCAGGCGGAATCTCAGCTGTGGGCTCTGCCCGGGCACTCATAGGGCCCTGGGAACTCACCTGCCACGACAGAAGGCGTGGGACTTGGTGTCCGAAATGCTTTCTTCGTATTCCAGCGGTTCCACATCTCAGCTCTGTGGCTATGCAACTTCTCAGGGTCTTGATTTCCTCCTATGTGAAGTGGGATAATAATTGCTGGCTCAAAAACTTGTTTCAGGGATGATAATAATTAGCCAACGATACTGGAAGAGGCTTATACGAAGTGAATGTAGTTCAACAACCCTAGGAGGGCGTAGCACAGAATCCGTACCCAAATCTCTTGAAGACAGAGGAGTTTTGGAACTCAGAATTCACAATTAATAAAGGTAACAGGGTACACGTGACATGTATCACAGAACCCCCATTAGGGTCTGGGGCAGTCTCCTAGACCCAAACACAGTATTTCTGAGCCCAAAATGGGAAGATTCATATTAAGCAGATAAAGCCTATAAAAAGTTTTGATTAGGAGTTGTAGATACAGAATTGTCGCCCAGAGAAGTTAAGCAACTTGCTCAACATCACACACCAGGATTTGAACCCTGGAAACTAGCTAGAGTCCCTGTTCTAACCACTACACTGCACTCCCTCTAGCGATGAAACCTCCTCATCAGAATGAATGAGGCATTCAGGGACTTGAATCTGATTCATAAGGGAGGTGAAAGCTGCTTTTTGTTAATATAATCAATACATATATACAGATTATTTCTCTCAGAAATAAAATCAAAGATATAGTCACATTTGAAATATTAATGCCACAAAATACCTCCCTGCAAAAAAGAAAAAAAACTATTTCTTGAAAATGTGCTAAATAGTTTAAATATGTTCATCTCTTTAAATTCCCATAAAAGCCCTGATGCTAATCAGATGATTTTATTAGTACCATCCCCTTATAGACGAGAATAAGTAACTTACTCGACATCACCCATAAATAAATGGCAGGCAGGAGATTCAGTCTGGGTCTGTAAAAGCTTGTGCCCCTTCCGTACACCGCCCTGCCTCAAAAGGGCAGTACATGCTGCTGACAACCATTGTGTGGGTCACCCAAGGTCACGGGCAGAGCCGGCATCCAGAGCACCCAATACCTGGACCTCGTGACCTTAGAAGGCCTTGCAGTGATTGCCTTCCACTCTGGAAAGCTTCACAACTCAATATCATTTCTTTTGCTGCCCACTCTGAGAAAAGAACAGTACCTAGTGTTCATGAGAAGATGCAACAGAATTGATCGGAAAGAAAATTTTATCTTGTTCCAGTCCTGTCCATAGTGTTGTACCGGTCTATATTTAGAAAAGTGTTCTGCACAGCCAAAGAGGCAATAAAAGCAATTTTAAAAGGTACTAGGCTTATGCCAGGAAACAATAAGAAGCTGCAAGTTCACGTACTTTGCCCAAAGAATGACTATTTAAAAAACAAGAGACAATAAAAACAAGCAATCTCAGCAAACACAATGGCGCTTTCAGGTCTGGGGCATCTCATAATCTCAGGGCAATTGAAGAAGGAGGAGGATAGCGGGGCCCTCTTGTGTCTTTACAGAAACGAGGCCCTAAGGGGGAACCTACCCAGGCCTCAGTCCCAGCTGCAATAGAGTCAGGAAGGAAGGCTGAGAAGGAAGTCACACGCCAGCCTACGGATCATCTCTATGCCCACGGTCTCAGCAAGTACCTCTCATACTAGAGTTGACCTTCGTATTTCAGAAAGGTGGAGATGAGTTTGAGAGACGACCTTCATTCATTTCTGGGTTTGAGGGCTTGATGCGCAACCAAGCTCTTCTAGGTCCAAGCTTTTCCCATCCTCTCAAGAACCCTTATTCTGGGATCTCCCAGAATGTTGTATTGTAATTCTAGCGTTATTTATAGCAATGTATGTTTCAAACATTAACTGTCTTCCACTACAGTTATTCGTATATGTGTATTATCATTTCTGTGTATATAAATTATAAACTGCTTGAGGGCAGAAAACAGTCCAGTTATTTCATAACTTCTAGAGAAGCTAGAGTGGTATCTACTAAATTTAGATTTTTTAAAATGGATCTATGTTACCCAAAGTATTTTAAATGTTACTAAAAGCACATGCGCGCACACACACATACACACACACCACTATATGGGGCTCAGACAGTACAAATAACTTGCTCAAAGTCACACACCCAGTAAGCAGTAGGTCAAGATGTGACCCAGACCGACACCACACATAAGCCCCTTTCCCTTCTTTTGCGACATGGAGCAAGAGATACGCAGGTATACTTTGAGACTGGGGTGTGGCAGAATTTGGGACAATGATGTAAGCTGGATTTCGAAAAGTTAGTATCTGACCAGCCAAAGAGGTCTTGAGACTGGAGAATCACATTCCTGGTTGAAGAAATACAAGTAAGGCCACAAGGCCTGTGCCACCATGTGCTTGGTGTGCAAAAGGGGCAGCCTCACAAAAACAACAGGGAAACCCCTAACCCCACCATTTTCCCAGTTAACAGTCAAAGATCAGTCCTATGAGGCCTCCCACTAACAGGCGCTCTGCAGGAATTCTGTTTTGCACAACTTCTGAAAAGAGTTGAATAGAGGGAAAAGAGATGTAAATCTCCTCTTTCCTGTAATCCTAGCACTCTGGGAGGCCGAGGCGGGCAGATCGCTCAAGGTCAGGAGTTCGAAACCAGCCTGAGCAAGAGAGAGAGACCCCATCTCTTCTAAAAATAGAAAGAAATGAATTGGCAAACTAAAAATATACATAAAAAAAAAATTAGCCGAGCATGGTGGCACATGGCTGTAGTCCCAGCTACTGGGGAGGCTGAGGTAGGAGGATCATTTGAGCCCAGGAGTCGGAGGTTGCTGTGAGCTATGCTGACACCATGGCACTCTAGCTCCCGGGCAACAGAGTGAGACTCTGTCTCAAAAGAAAAAAAAATATTTTTTTGAGAATCTGCTTTTTTACAGTCTAAAGAGTTCCTGGGCAAACAGCAGGGTGCTCGCTCCAGGCCTCAACCACATCTCCTGCTATAATCTCTTCTCCAAGGACAGGCAGGAGAGCCAACTCCTGGACTTTGATATCCTCACAGGTTTTGTTATCTACCTGCCACCAGGAAGAAATGAAGGAGCGGATGCAGCAGTTTCTCGACTGCACCTGCCAGTTTACAGCGCCCTTTAAAAAGCTTCAGTAGCTGGTTTTCAGGGCCAGCACATGCTTCCTTTTTCACCTCCATGCCCATCTCCTGTCCTGGGAAAAGCAAATAACCCTCTTCTTTCTATCCTAATTTCTGCATGAGAAATCTTTCTCCACCCATGCCGTGAGCACCTACTAGGCTTTCCACCCTAACAGTCTGTCTATGGAGACTTATCTTAGAATAATTATGGCGTTTAGATGGTATTAACCCAAGGGTTTTAGGCAGATCCAAATCATTTCCTAAACCTCATCTACCCCTCTCCAAAATGTCCCCAGGAAGCTGTGTACCTACAGAGCAAGGCAAAAGAAAGCAAAACAAATGTCCCATTCTCAGCTGAAGCTGGTTCCCTCGCCCCTGGGCAGAGACCTTTAAAGCAATAGATAGCCAATATGCCATCCACGCCCTACATTGCCCCCGCTTCCACCTGAGGACAGCAAAAGAAGAGAGAAGAGAAGCTGCTAAGAGCTCAAACTTATGTTTTGTCTACTTAGATATCAAGATTTGATTCAAAATCATTCCCTCTATGAAGCCTTTCCAAACAAACTCCAATCAATTCCCATATGTCTACAGAATTTTTTTAAATCTAGAAATGTCTTTATGCACGTTGAGCTCAATGTTTTAACTAAAAACATATTTCCTGTTGTTAAATTAACTTTTCAAAAATAATTTTTTCTGAATATAAAAGTGATAAATACACATGGCAGAAATTTTGGGATAGTTAAAAAGAAGAAAATTTAAATCACCTGAAATGTGACCTCATTGAAGAAATCATTATTAATATTTTAATAGCCCTTTGGCATGCATTTTTATATAGATAAGATGATTTTGCATCTGCAGTTTTGCATTTTGCATTCTTCTTTTCTCATGAAATGACCTCACCTCTCAGTTCCTTGAACTCCTCATTTCAGCTACTGACTCCCTGGTCAGATATTAGTAGAAACCCTTGCTACTGGAAGTGTGGTCCGTGGACTGGCTGCCGTGACATCATCTGATAACTTATCAGAATCACAGAATCCCAGACCCCATCATGCTCTGGCCTCAGGATATTTGCACTTGCTGTTCCCTTTGCCTGCAGGGCTAGTTCTCCAGTTATTTTCAGGACTCACTCCCTCCCTGCATGCTGTTCTCTGCTCAAATGTCACCCGCAGGGAAAAGCCACTCCTGACCACCCTAACTATAGCTGCATTCTGTCACACTCCATCCTATTACCCCGCTCCCAATCATCAATAGAAAGCTCCATTCCATATTCCACAACTTAAACCCACCCCAAATATTCCATTTTTCTCTTTTACAGAGAATTTTGCCATGTGCTTTTGTGCTGCACTGAGCTAAGTTTAACTTGGTTGTTTTCAGTACGAGTGAATGGCTCCAGTACAGCTTCCCTGCAGTGGAAATTTCCCTTACTTGATGTAAGTCTCCAACTACATAGATGGCGGTTGTCCCATCTTTGTGCAATGCATCTGAATTTAAAGAATTACCCAAAGTGGGGTCACCACCAGCAGCAGTAGCAGCAGCAAGATTAGGCCTGAGAACATTTTCAAGGGGCAAAGTTTGTATCTGGTGTCCTCCCCCTACTTCTTCTTCTTCCTATATCTTTGCTATGGTTTGAATGTTTGTCTCCTCAAAAACCCATGTTGAAATGTAATTGCCATCGTGACAGTATTAAGAGGTGGGACCTCTAAGAGGTGATCAGGCCATGAGGGCTTCACCCTCATGGGTGATATTGGTTCGATTATAAAAGAGTGAATTTATCCCCCTCTTGCTCTCTCTTGCCCTCTACCTTCTGCAAGAAGGCCCTCACCAGATGCTAGCCCGTTGATCTTGGACTTCCCAGCCTCCGGAGAGGCTAAGAAATTTCCATTCATTATAAATTGCTCAATCTATGGTATTCTGTTATAATAGGATAAAATAGACTAAGACAATGTTCTTCTAGGTTCCTTTCCTTGGAGAACTGGCTCTCAGCTAGTTATCATGTATTCCCTCCGAGGGTGGCAACTTACGCATCAACAAGAAGTGCTCAGAGACTTAAAAGGAAGAGAACATCAATAGCTTATTTTGTGCCAGGCTTCATTCATCATCACACATCATTTCTCCATGTGAGGAAGACACAATCCTGGAGGGACACATTTCCTCCTTCAATTTACAGATGAGAACAGGAGGCTCTGGGACATTATGTAACTGTCCCATGTCACCTGGGTAGTCTTAACTCAAAACTCTGCCTTTCAAGTCCCCTGAGCCTCAAAAATTCAAAGGAGCACAATCTTAACAGTGGATTAACAAAGACCATGACTGGAAGGACTTTTTTTTTTTTTTCAAACAAGGGTGGAGGTAGGAAGAGGGTGATGAGAGTGATGGTGAAAAGGAAATATCTATATGGCAAGACCCTTTAATCACAGGCACACCAAATTTAGAGCTAGAAGGGATCTCAGTATCTGCACCAACCACTCCATTTTTCAGAAATGGAACATTGAGGCCCAAAGTGGATGAATTATGTTCATTTACATCTAAAGGACTGATATCCTAAAATCCTGAAAAAGCAGACCTATTTGATTAATTTACAGGAACCAAATTTTCTAATATTCTTACCTGAGGTGGATAAAGAGATGACCAATTTTAACCCAATTTTCAAAACCACAGTGTCCCCATCTATGGTGATTAACAGAAATACGTCCACCTTAATTTTATAATTATGTTGGGGGAATTACCGTTTCTAAGTAGAGTTCCCAAATTTAGCAGTGTTCACATGTCTTCATCCCCCCACCAAAATGTTGGATAAATAAAGGCATAGGTTTAGCATAGGAAAGGACGTGTAAACAAATAGTAAGTAAGCTTATCAGGCAGACATTTTGTTTAGAAACCCCTGTTTTTATTTTTTAAAACTGCTAAGGCAAGGGATTAATATAGTGGATCTCACAGCATAAGCATGTTTACAAGAGCATAGAGCATGAGATGTGATTCCTCTCATGGCCCAAGGAACGTGGGGCTCCGCTTTCTGTGCAAGGTGGACAGAGCAGAAAGGCAGCTGGTCTTTGCCCCATCGTTGGAGTGGCAGGGATAGGTGGGAGTGGTCCACTCACGAACGTTAGAATGTGATCAAATAAAACATTCATTGAGCCCCTGCCCTGTGCCAAGTACTGGATGACCATTAGGCAGGAGGCAGTCTGATAGGTAAGATAAATGTATACTCAGAAACTTAAATAGTTCTTATGAGTATAAATATGCACGCTAATGATAATTAACACCTCTGTTTGCAAATGTAACAGGGTAATATTTCGATATATTAACTGATATGCTTTCTCTTCTCAGTAATTCTTGTTACCTGTGAACTTTTTCCCATATAGGCCTTCTTGGCACACGGCCTCAGGGACAGGATTATGCTATGGAACAAAAGAGGCAAATTCTTGGCTTTTGGATTTCAAAACCTGAAATCTTGGCAAAAACAGCATGTTTGGAAGAAAAATAGATCTGGAAATGCTCAAAATTAGTTTTTTCTACCCCTAAGACAAGATAAAACTAGAAAGAAAAAACTGTGGAAAGAAAAGGGAGCAAAAGCAGAAGAGTTAGACCCATGAATAGGTCACAGAGCAGACGCCCATGTTCTGTCCCCTCTGTCCTGACCCTGTCCGCCTGAGCTCCTGGTGCAGAGGAGAGACAACAGAGAGTCCAGGGAAAACAGAGGAAACGTGGAGGGGGTCTGTGGCCAGCACCCACGCCCACCCCACAGCCTCCCGCTGCTGCCCCCAGGCTCAGGTAAGGCCCCCACAGACCCCAGCTCTTGGGGCCCTTCAGCCGTCTTTCTGTGTAGACGGCAGAGAGCATCTGGCTGCAAAAGGATTACCTACACAGAGAGGGCCTGAAACAGCCTGAAAGTTCCCCCACATGCCCATGGAGTTCAGACCAAATATTTTCAAGGAGCTCAAGACAAATAGGCAAGAGAGACCCAGATCTGAAAGATCTCGTGGCCGAGGTTTAGAGGACTCTGGGTGACTTACGTGGACCGAGGGCACGGCATGGTAATGCACATTTCAGCCTACGCCTGTGTGACTCAGGGGAAACCCTGAGGGCTGATGTCCGTCCCCTAACTCTCTCTGCTTTCTTTGTCCATTCTTAGGAAGTAAAGACCAGGACCACGAGTCTGGGGAATAGCGCCTGCTGCATCAGGGGAGGGAGAAGAAAGTCTCAGTGACCCTGGGTTCCTGATACACACATGATCTCCCTTCTGAGCGCAGGTAACAAATCCAGACCCTGAGGAGGGAAGTGGGGAAAAGTTTGTCTTCCAAACTCTCCCCTCTCCTCAGCACCCCGGTCGGCCCTTTCCCCGCCTCCGGGGTGCTTAGCGCCCTTTCCTTCTTTCCTTGCTGTGTCTTCTTACTACCCTCCCATTGCAACCCGAAACTCACTTCCATTGAAGGGACTCAGAATAGTTGAAGGTTTAACTGCAACTCCTCTGTTCTCATGGCTATTCATTTGTTAAATGTACCTTCTGGCTCTCTCCCCTCCCCTTTCCATTGCCTGGGAATGCTGTTCTCTGAATACTCCTTCTCCTCAGTCCAGGAAAATCGTAGAATTGCACTTCTCCTCCTTCTTAAGGTTGATCGTGGCAGCCATGTCACTTGCTGGCCAGGGAAAGGTGGCAGGAATGACATATGTGGCTTCCAGTGGAAGCATTTAGTTGCAGAGAGTGACACTGCAGCACTCTCTGCCTCCTGCCACTGGAACGGATGACATTCCAGATGGTGGAGGCTCTGTCAACGTGATTCCCGGAGTAAGAAGCCCCAGTCGATGTGCAATGGACATGTAATGAGAGCAAGAAACAAACATCTGTTAAACTAAGTCACAGGTGACTGCATTGTCATCAGACCCATCCTGACCATACACCTGGGCTACTGTTGGAGATCAGGCCCTAGTCACTTCTCAACTGACCTCTTAACACGTGCCACTCAAAGTAGAGTCCACACAGGTATCAATCCACAAACTATTGCTAGTCTGCAATGAAATAAGTACAGAAATTGAGAAGAAACATTTAAAAATACTTATAGCAATTAAAATAATTAATTTGACAAGTTGAGTTTAATAATAAAATATTAGGGCTTATAATCCCCCCAAATCTTAGTATTGTGCCTTGCCTATCAGGGTGATAAAAATATTTGGCAAATTTAATTGGATCATTGTTTCATGATTAAGAAGTAGAACTATAGTAGGATCTCAAGCAACAGAAAGCAGATCTGGGGGATATTTGAGGTGAAATCATCATTTATAAGTTCCTGGAATCTCTCTTTTTGCCAGGACATAATTTATATCCAATAAACAGAGAAACTTTATGAGCTCTTCCTCATTTACTATTAAACATTGTTTTGGGTTTGCCTTCAAAAGAGCATGGACATGAATGTATTTATCCTCCGGAATAAAACTGTAAATATATTGCCTATGAATATGGTTTTCAGAATTACCCATAAACAACTTGACATTTTAATACATTTGTTCAAGAGCACAAAAGGATAATATAACTGATTCCTAAATCACTTCCTAACTCCCTCCAGGACTGAGTAATTTTTTTTCCTCCCAAAGACTCCTTGGCACACATTAATATATTTCTCTGCATCATACAAGAAAGAGGCAAGGTAATCTGGTAAAAAGAATAGTGAACTAGCTGCCAGGAGACCTGGTTCTAATCCTGGTACCGACTCCACTCACTTGCTGCTACATAAAGCCATTACTCAACCACTTGGTGCCCTAATGTTTTTTATCTTATGAGGATGTTAAGTTAATAACAAATAACATCACCATTGTGAGAATCAAGATAAAGGGTTCTGAAGCAATTAGTGAATAAAATGGAACATGATTAAAATTTACCATGTACATACAATACTGCCTGGTAATGCTCTCAATTTATTTTCCACATGGATTTTCTCCTCTCTGGCCAGACAATAACCTCCTTAGCGGTGCATTGTGCTGTTTTTCTTTGTATCTTATTGAATGTTGAGTCCTTGGGACGACTAATATATATATGATGATTGTTTGAACACTAATATTTCAAAAGTTGTTGAACCCTTTCACCCTTAAGTAAACTACATACATTTCATGCATCACATGACAAGTATGCCTCAATTTGCACTGGCAATATGCTTTTAGGGTTTTGGCTAAGGAGAATTGTAATTAGCTATCTGAGTTCCCTGGGGGTCATATCTCATTAATCTTTGTGTCCCCAGCACTTGAAGCACATAGAGGCAGTCCAGTTGTTATAGACTACATCACGTATCCCCCAAATTCACATGTTGAAGCCCTAACCCACAATGCAACTGGATTTAGAGATAGGGGCTTTAGGGAGGTAATTAAGTATAAATGATGTCGTAAGGATGTGGCTGTAATCTAATAGGACTGGTATCCTCATAAGAAGACAAAAAGCCCCCAAAAGCATGCATGCACTTGCTTGCTCCCTCCTCTCTCTCTCTCTCTCTCTCTCTCTCTCTCTCTCTCTCTCTCTCTCTCTCTCACCTCTCCATGCACCACAGAGGAAAGCCCTTGTGAGGACACAGCCAGAAGGCTGCCATCTTCAAGCCAAGGAAAGAGCCCTCAAGAGTCCATGAACACCTTAATCTGGAACTTCGGACCTCCAGAACTGTGAGAAAAAAAATTTTTAAGCAACCTAGCATATGGTATTTTGTTATAGCTGGCCAAGTTAACTAAGATACCAGTTAATGTCTGAAGATAAATTAATAAATAAATGAACTTTCATAAAATATTTTTAATATTACCTCCACTCGGTATCCCGAAACCTAAAAAAGCTAATCTTTGACTTTGCTTAAATTGGTCTGGGGGGACATTTTCCAGAATCAGCTAAACTTTATAATAGCACACCTACCCAAGAGACATGTGATTTTTCCATTCTCGTTCCTTGTGAGCACAGGCAGTACTTATTCAAGGGTCATTAAGAGGATTAGGCTGTGGGAATGAGAGTGGTAAGGAAGAGAACAGTTATTGGCCAGCAAGAAGGAAAATTGTAGTATTAATTGTTCAGAGCATAGCACATTATTCTGCCCATGTAAATAGTCAAGGTAAAATACAGCAGACGAATAAAGAGCTTCTGTATAGAGCTATGGACGTTGGCAGGAACCACTGTGCTGCAGTAGTGAAGAGGCCTCCTGCTGGGGGCTGCAGTGGAAAAAGTGACCTCAGAGAGGAATTCAGAACAGAAATGCTCAGAAAGAGATGAAACACCACGAAGTTTTGGTTAAGTCATTTGGTTCCAGGCTTATAAAAGTATAAAGCTGTTTCAGCCAAAAAAAAAAAAAAAAACCCAGAAATTACATGAACTTTGTAGATTACTCTTCTGTTTTAATTGTAACTTTGAATTCCAAAGTGCCTCTGTGCTCAAATTCTTTACAAGAGATCTATGGTGTTTAGAAACACATTCTTCTAACGAGGCCCAGGCAGGAGAAGCAAAATACCTAATCTAGAGCCACTGGGCTTGGATCACTCAATGTTCCACTGAGCCACCCCAGCATAGAGGGAACACTAATTAGGGACTCCAGAAAAGAAAGCCCCAGAGAGAAATCCTTGCATGCCCTTTCCTTCTTCCGTGCCGCAGCTAGAGAGGGTGCCCCTTTCACAGAAATGTTTGTACAGGCAGACCTTGGAGATAGTGGGCTCAGTTCCAGACCACTGTAATAAAGCAAGTCGCATAAATTTGTTTCCCAGTACATATAAAAGTTACACTTATGCTGTACTGTAGTCTATTTAGTTTGCAATATCATTTTGTGCATACCTTCATTTAAAAATGCTTTATTCCTAACAAATGCTAATGATCATGCGAGCCTTCAACAAGGTGGAATCTTTTCGCTGGTGGAGTCTTGCTTTGATGGTTCATGGCTGCTGATGGATCAGGGTGGAGGTTGGTGAAGGTTGGGGTGGTTATGGTCGTTTCTTAAAATAAGACAACAATGAAGTTTGATGTAACCATTGACTCTTGCTTTCAAGAAAGAGTTCTCTGCAGCCCGTGATGTTTGATAACATTTCACCCACCGTAAAATTCTTTCTAAATTGGAGTCTTCTCCAATCCTGGTGCTGCATTATCAACTAAGTTTATGTAATATTCTAAATCCTTTGTTGTCATTTCCACAATGTTCACAGCATCTCCACCAGGACTCATGTAACCACTCTTTGCTCATCCATAGGAAACAACTCCTTATCCATCCAAGTTTTATCATGAGATTGTGGCAATTCAGGCATATCTTCAGGCTTCCCTTCCAATTCTATTAATAGTTCTCTTGCTATTTCCACCACATCTGCAGTTAGTTCCTCCACTCAAGTCTTTAATCCTCAGTGTTATCCATGAGGGTTGGAATCAACCTCTTCCAAACTCCTCTCAATGTTGGTATTTTGACCTCCTCCCATGAATCATGACTGTTCTTAATGGCATCTAGAATGGTGAATTCTTTCCAGGTTTTCGATTCTACTTTGCCCAGATCCATCAGAGGAATCAATATCTATGGAAGCTAAAGCCTTACAAAATGTAATTCTTAAATAATAAGACTGGAAAGAAAAATTACTCCTTAATCTATGGGCTAAAGAATGGACGTTGTGTTAGGAGGCATGAAAACATATATCTCCTTGTACATCTCCATCAGAGCTCTTGGGTAATCAGGTGCGCTGCCAATGAGCAGTAGTATTTTGAAAAGAATCATTTTTTCTCAACAGTAGGTCTCAACAGTGGACTTAAAATATCCAGTAAACCATGCTGTAAACAGATACGCTGTCATCCAGGCTTTGTTGTTGCACTTATAGAGCATAGGAGGAGAAGATTTAGCATAATTCTTAAGGACCCTAGGATTTGGGGAATGGTAAATGAGCATTGGCTTCAGCATAAAGTCATCAGCTGCATTAGCCCATAAAAAGAGTCAGTCTGTCCTCAGAAGCTTTGAAGGTAGGCATTGACTTCTACTCACTAGCTGTGAAAGTCCTAGATAACATCTTCTTTTAATGTAAGGCTGTTTTGTCTACATTGAAAATCTGTTGTTTAACAGTGTAGCCACCTTTATCAGTTATCTTAGCCAGATCTTCTAGATCATTTGCTGCAGCTTCCACATACGCAACTCTTTACCTTGCATTTTATTTTTATTTTTTAATTTTTTTTGAGACAGAGTCTTGCTTTGTTGCCCAGGCTAGAGTGAGTGCCATGGCGTCAGCCTAGCTCACAGCAACCTCAAACTCCCGGGCTCAGGCAATCCTGCTGCCTCAGCCTCCCAAGTAGCTGGGACTACAGGCATGCGCCACCATGCCTGGCTAATTTTTTCTGTATATATTAGTTGGCCAATTAATTTCTTTCTATTTATAGTAGAGACGGGGTCTCGCTCTTGCTCAGGCTGGTTTCGAACTCCTGACCTCGAGCAATCAGCCCGCCTCTGCCTCCCAGAGTGCTAGGATTACAAGCGTGACCCACCGCGCCTGGCCTTTACTTTGCATTTTAATGTTATAGAAATGGCCTCTTTCCCTAAACCCCATGAACCAACCTCTGCTACCTTCAAAGTTTTCTTCTGCAGCTTCCTCTGCTCCCTTAGCCTTCACAGAATTAAAGAGAGTTAGGACCTTGCTCTGGATTTGGCTTTGGCTTAAAGGGAATGTTGCAGCTGGTTTGATCTTCTATCCAGGTCACTAAAACTTTCTCTGTATCAGCAATAAGGCTGTTCTGCTTTCTTGGCATTCTTGTGTTTACTGGAGTGGCAATTCTAATTTCCTTCAATAACTCTTCTTTTGCATTCACAATTTGGCTGTTTGGTTCAAGAGGCCTAGCTTTTGGCCTATCTCAGCTTTTGACATACCTTCCTCACTAAGCATGAACATTTCCAGCTTTTAATTAATTAATTAATTTAGAGACAGAGTCTCACTCTGTTGCCCAGGCTAGAGTGAGTGCTGTGGCGTCAGCCTAGCTCACAGCAACCTCAAACTCCTAGGCTCAGGCAATCCTTCTGCCTCAGCCTCCCAAGTAGCTGGGACTACAGGCATGCACCACCATGCCTGGCTAATTTTTTCTATATATATTTTTAGTTGTCCAGCTAATTGCTATTTTTTTTAGTAGAGATGGGGCCTTGTTCTTGCTCAGGCTGGTCTCAAACTCCTGAGCTCAAATGATCTGCCTGCCTCAGCCTTCCAGAGTGTTAGGATTACAGGCGTGAGCCACCACGCCTGGCCTCCAGCTTTTAATTTAAATTGAAAGACCTGTGACTCTTCCTTTTGCTTGAAGGCTTAAAGGCCACCATAGGGTTATTAATTGGCCTAATTTCAATATTGTTGTGTCTCAAAGAATAGGGAGGTTCAAGGAGAAAGAGAGAGACAAGGGAAAGGCTAATTGGTGGAGCAGTCAGAACATACATATCAATTACGCTTGCTGTCTTGTACAGGCATGGTTCCCTGCCATCTGAAAACCATAACAATAGTAACATCAAATACCAATAATTGCACGTCACCGTAACAGATATAGTCAACATGAAAAAGTCCGAAATATTGTAAGAATTGCCAAACTATGATAGAGACATGAAGTAAGCACATGCTTTGGGAAAAATGGCATCAACAGACTTGCTTGATATAGGGTTGGCACTAATCTTCAATTTGTAAAAACCACAATATTTGCAAGGCGCAACACAGAGAAGTGCAATAAAATGAGGTACACCTGCATGTATCACAGCAGGGATTTATGTCTTCCACTACCAGCATTTAGCCAGTACAGTGAGTGTTTCAGAGCTGAGGTATCTTTCTATGTGATTGGATTCTGAAATTTATTTAATAAATTAGGCTTTTACAAGGAAAAAAATGAAATGTATAATTTCATTTAGATAAGAACAAAATCACAGTCTATGAAAAAATGTCACCCCACCCACCCCTGCCCCAAACAGGCTTTTAAATATAGATCTACATTTTGAGCAAAGCATGAATCAAGTCACATATTTAATGTCAGCAGAGTGTAATTTTAGAGGCATGCCAGAAAGAAAAAGGGGGTGTGAGCACACAAAACTTATTTATATTTTTATTTATGCTATTTCCCACAGATGGAAAATAAATTTTCAAGAGTACTACTTCTCAAGCTAATCAACTCCTAGTTCTTAAAATGTTGTGGTTATCTAGCAGTGCCCTCTGGTGTCCAAATGGATTATTTTTGTTTGCCTTGAGGCAAAAAGTAAGCCACTACATAATCAGACAAGTCTATAGTCAGTATTCGTTCATTTGCCAAATATTACTGAGTGTCTACTATATGCCTGGTACTTGTGGAAAGTGGCACGATGGAAAGATTATTAAACAAAGTCTCGTTCCTTAAGAACAAATCCTTGGGCCCGGCATGATGACTCACGCCTGCAATCCTAGCACTCTGGGAGGCCGAGGTGGGCAGATTGCTCAAGGTCAGGAGTTCGAAACCAGCCTGAGCAAGAGCTCTCTACTGTCTCTACTATAAATAGAAAGAAATTAATTGACCAACTAATATATATATAGAAAAATTAGCCGGGCATGGTGTCGCAAGCCTGTAGTCCCAGCTACTCAGGAGGCTGAGGCAGTAGGACTGCTTGAGCCCAGGAGCTTGAGGTTGCTGTGAGCTAGGCTGACGCCACGGCACTCACTCTAGCCTGGGCAACAAAGTGAGACTCTGTCTCAAAAAAAAAAAAAAGAACAAATCCTTGTTCTTAAGGAACCAATAGTCTAACAAGGGAGACAAATGTAAACTCAATTACAAAATTAGTTGAGTGAAATTGAGTCCTATTTTAAAGATTTGAGAAAGTGCTTTTCACGGTTAATCCAAAACACACTTCTGGTTTTGTAGTTATTTAGGAGCCAACTGGTTACCAGATCTGACACACAAATCATTAAGCCTTATATTTCTTTCTGAAAATGCTGTTTTTCTAGTATTGTGATGAAAGGCCTCAAGATGAATCAAATGAGAAACCTTAAGAAATCAAGAGACCCTAAGAATTTATCATAAACTGTTTTAGGATTCTTAGATCTGCAAATGGGTCACTCGAGTCACCAAAACCACTGTTCTGAATAGGTGCATCTTCAAGTCTTCTCGGGAAGCAGAGGGAGCCTGAAGGAGTTGCAGAGACCTTCCATCAAGAATGAAAGCAAAATGCAAATACTATCAAAGAAAAGGAGTCAGGAATGACTATAGACCAAGAATAATGTTTTATGTCATTTTGTAATATTATTATTATTATTATTATTTTTGTCATTTTTCCATTCTGGTTACTGCTTTTCCCTAATCAGCCATGAAACCATAGTATACAGGCGGGACCTGTGACTTGCTTCTAACCAATAGAATACGGCAAAGGTGACAAGATGTGCATGATTACATTACATAAGATTATAAGGCCCATCTTGCTGAGACTCTCTCCCTTGCTGGCTTTGAGAAAGCAACCAGGTGTGTTGGGAAGGTCCATGTAGCAAAGAGCTGAGTGTGGCCTCCCACCAACAGCCTGTTAGGAATTGAAGCCTCTCAAGGAACCGAAGGCTGCTAATAACCACATGGGTGAGAAAGCAGACCCTTCCCCAGTCAAGCTTCGGATAAGACTGCAGCCTTACAGAGGACTCAACTAATTTGTTCTTAGACTCCTTGTACACAAAAACTGTGAGATAATAATGTGTGTTGTTTTAAGTTGCTAAGTTTGTACAATATTATTATGCAATAAAAGATAACTAATATAAATTTAAAGACAATTTAAGATGTTTTTATTATAAAAGTAATACAAACAAAAACTATAATATTGAGGAAAGACAAAATCATCCATTTACTGCCCTGCCATCCCACTATAACCACAGTTAGTAGTTTACTTTGATTTACTTTGTCATCTTTTTAATACACGCATGGTGTGTTATTTGCAGCCATGATTACACCCATTCATATACTTTTGTATTTTGTCATTTTTATGTAATATAACATTTTCTCATGTATTTAATATTATTCATTACTAATTTTTCAGGAATACATATTGTGCCATTAATATATATCTGTTTATTGACCATGTTCTAGACCAGGGGATGGTAAATTATGGCCCCACATTTGTAAATAAAGTTTTATTGGAACACAGCCAGGGCTATTTGTTTATATATTGTCTACGGCTGCTCTTGTGCTACAAACAGCAGTGTTGACAAGTTACGACAGAGACAATAAGGCCTGCAAAGCCTAAAATATTTACATCCTCACCCTTTATAGAAAAAGTTTGCTGAGCCCTGCCTTAAACTTTTATATGGTTTATAATTTGAGCTATTAGAAGTAATGCCATTTGAAACATCTTTATACATAAAATTTTTACACTTTGGACACCTTAATTGGGAGATATTAACAAAAGTGGAATAACTACTGAGTCTAATTAATAAAGACATTTTTAAGGCTGATAGTATCCTATACTA